AAAAAAAACTGAAAACTCAATAATCGATTGACTTATTTCTTTCGATTTCCTAGAAACATAAATATTCTTCCGAAAACCCAAAGAACATGGAAATTTCAATTACATGATATCGATTCACTTCCTCTAATCATTGTCAATTATATAACTTGCTCCCATCGGTATGATTTCTAAAAACCCATTTAAAAAAATTATAAGCTTCTTACTGCCAACCCAATCGAGAATAAAGTAAGTGATAACAAGCCATGGATCTAATGGTAATGGCAAGTATGATATATTTTGATCTGGATATGGATACAACGAATAAGGCATAAGATTTAAATCAAACATAACATAAGACGAAGAAGAAACACAAAGATAAGAGGCGAAGAGAGGCAATGGAGTAATGACAATAAGGAGGACGTGAGGGTCAAGATGGATTTGAGGAGCATTGGCTTTTCATTGCAAAACCTAAAATCTCAAATTACCTTTTGAGTTTGTTTGTTGTAGGAGAGGTTTAACCGTTTGAGTTAAATATCCAGATATTACATGGTTAGTTTCACTTTATTATGATTTTTTTTTTTTTGTGTTTCTTAAAAGGACTTCGATTTAGGTCTTCATTTACCAGGCATGATGCGATGTTGTTCTATGTTGCTCATTGACCGAAAGATATACATTCGATTTGATTTATGATTTAGCTTTATTTTCTCTGACCAATAGCTACTTTATGTTGTGCTTCAGCCAAAAGAAAGTACTTCGATTCATTATGCATCGACTTACTCCGTTTTCAATTAAATGTACCAAATGATCGTATAATCAGTGGTACGTCTATAAGTGTTGTTTCTATACAGGAACAAGGTGGTTTTTCTACAAGTAATGCTTCTACACATATCAGATCATAGTACCAAAAGAATCATACACAACAGCTTGTTGCTTCCTAGATAAAGATCAAGTGTTTAATTAAGGAATTGAATTTGGTGAAAGAGTCTTCTCGAATCTACTCTGATATGGAAGCGAAATTAAGTACCTGGTCCTAGATAATGAAAAGCATGTAATTTGGACTTCGGAAATGCGGTATTTGGTGCTACTATTTTTGATATTTTGTAAGCGATTCATAAGCCAATAGATTGGCCGGGAATTTCATGGCAAACAAATTGTTTCTCATAGACATTCAACAACAAAATTTCTTGGGCTGTCATGTTCGAAACATATGTTAATAATAAATTAATATCTATGATAGCTAAAAGTGTGATCATTCTTATGTCTCCCAAGGTTACTCTATATGTCTCAAAGATCTTCTTGAAATGGAGAGATGTTATCTACGGTCTTGTAGATTGGTCCATCATTTACCTTTTTCAGAAAGTTTTATTGTTGTATTATCTCTTTGTTGAATCTGGTTTTATGAGATTTGCTCTATTCCTATATCAATAAAGTATCAACCTCCCACAATTATAAATCCTCAAGGTTATTTTTATTCCAAAGCTAAGCGAAAATGGTTACTATTCATGATTTATCACTTCCCATAAAATACAGACCACATCATCTACAAGATTACAAAATCTAATCAATTATTGAACCAAAAATTATACAGCTAAATATGTAAAATTTGATACGTCACAGTTTTATTGTTTGGTTTGTCGTTTCACTTTAACTCCAATTGCCAAGCTGTAAGCATGCATTTGCAATGATGTAACTAAGTGAAAACTATAGTTTGGTTTGAGTCCCACATTTCATATTTTCTGTAATGGAATTTTTAGTATCTAAGTTATATAAAAAAATAATAAATCCGGTGAGTTCGCACGGGTATTCACCTAATATTGAATTAAAAAAAAAAATACTTTTTCTCCAAAAAATTTGGTTCAAAAGTATCACTATAAAAAAAAAATGTCATAACTTTGTTCGAAACATAAATCGAACTTCGGATATAAATTCATTAGGTCAATTCGTTGTTCGACCATAACACGTCTGGCGAAGTGAACAGAAATTCATAAATAGAGATATATAACTAAAATATGGTTAGTTGAAGCTTAAGAGAAGACTTCTCTCTTTAGTTATTATCAACCCTAGCAGCCTAGCTTGGAGCAAAGATGACTCCCATGTGGACCTTTATGTGGTGCCACTAAATTACAACATGTCTTCCTCAAGCGATCTCAAGTTAATTACTATCACTTTTCTTTCACGAGTTTATAAATCATTTTTAACTTTATTGTTTTTATTTCACTCATAATTCTTGAATTGGTGTAGTTGTTCGAAGATATTTGGATCAGTGATTAGGTTAAGGTATAATCTAGAAAGAGTTTGGGTCATATAGTTACTATCTTTTACCCTAAAACAAAGAGGAAATTTTACCAAATCTACTCACATTGAATTAATGTTTTGCAAAATAATTTTTGCCTTTTTTATACCAACTTTTTTCTATATTACCCTTTGATTAATATTAGAAAATACAAAAAAATAGTTTTTATAATTTTATAAAATCACGAAAATAGAAAATAGTAATGTACAAGGCATATAAATTCATGTT